TCATCTTTTAAGGTCATCACTATTGCAATACAAAGGACAAAGTGCTAGTGTTTGTTATCGTGGGTTGAAAAAATTGTTAGAGTATCACAAATAAAAGCTAATCCTACTAGATTGTTTTTTATATGTTTTAAATATTGGTAAATATAATGGTTATTTGTGTGAATAAACATGATTTAAAGTTGTCTTGAGATGCAATTTTTGTGTAATTTATGTTCTTACACATTGACTATTGATTATTTTGCATATGTTGATATTAATCTTAATGTTAGTCAAGTAACCTTTCCTCTTAAAAATGTAGTGGGTGTTGATAAATAATGTAAGAAGAAATTGACTACTAAAATTAGATAATTAAAGGTTTAAATTAGAGAATTAATTTTTTTATCAGGTTGTTATGTTTTTTAATATGTATTGATATGGTAATTAAATTTATAATTTGTGTAAAAGATTAGATTGTAAGTTGTTAAATATGAGAGAATGATATATTTTGCTTTAACTAATAAAGATTAGTTACCGTCTATAATTTGAATTGGTTTACATTTTAAATTTTTTGTGATGTAAAAAATTTAAAACTTATATTAAACCTAAAACATATTTACAATAATAATAAGTCACAATATATAAGAATTATATTATCTCCGAGAGACATAATTGAAGCTACATTATTTTGGTGAAATCCAAAACTTTCCAATTTCTTTAAATTAAATAAATAAATACAAGTCAAACTCTTGGATGTTCAAATTATACAATATTATACATTCAAAACAATAAAAACAAGTAACATTTTCACTACAACTTAGTCTTTAATCCAAGTGTGGCATGAATTGTTATTTTTCTAAAGAATTATTTATTGAACAAGCTAGTGAATTTTAGTGGAGTGAAATTGAAATATTTGTAAAAGAAAATCTCAACCTAATAGTTAGTTCCATTGTTGCTCTAATGTATAAAAATTAGAATAAAAAATTGCCCTAAGCAACTTTGTAATAGAAAAATGGCTATGTTGATTTATATAAATAAAAATAAAAATGAATCCTCCATCTAATTAAAGTTCTTGCAAGTGAGTATGCATTTTGTTTAAAACAAATTAGGATTTTTTTACTAAAATATAAGGAAAATGTGCATGTTTAATACATCTGTATTTATTGAATTAAGACTCGAACTCAATATTATATGTTAAGTTACAATAACTTTCTACCAATTGATCCACTTATTTGATGGCTAAAGTACTTCTTTTAACATACTTTGGTCTATTTTTAAAAAATTAAAATAATTTTAAAATACGATCACTTTATGAAATAAATATTTGGCTTAATTATGTTTTTAATTCTCATAAATGTAAGTCGTATTGTAATAAGTCCCTATAAATTTTTTTTTAAAGATGTAGTCCCTAAAAAGTTAGAAATTTAAGATTTAACACCTTCCATTAATTACATCTTTGTTAAGTACTTAACTAGTTGACGGAGAGTTAATTCAGCACTTCACGTAGTATGTCACGTTATTTATTTATTTTATTTAAAATTAAATTTGCAAATAAGTTTGTGAATCTATTTTATATAATTGCATAAAAGTCCTTTTTTCTTCCTCTTTCCCTTATCCTTCTTCATACCTTTCAGACATCTCTCCTCTACCCTTATCCCTCTCTTTTCTCTCACCTCCACTCCCTCCCCTTCTGCCTCCTCACACCACTATTCTTCCCCTTCCCCCACATTCCCTCTCTTTTCCCTCACCTCTTTCTCTTCCTCACACTCTCATCTACACCATTCTTCTCCCCTACCCACTTCCATTTTCCTAATCCACACCACCTTTCTCTCTCACCCACTTCCATTCTTCCATCCACACCACTCTCCTCTTCCACTCCTTCTCCCTCTAATACCCACATTCTCACCCCATCTACACCACCCCTTCTCATTCTCTTATCCGCACCACTGTTTCCTCTTTCCCACACTTCTCTCCTTGCAACACTTTCTTTTTACCACACCCATCTCCCTTCAACACCCGCATCTGCACCACCCCTCTCCTCCACCCACTTCCATTCTCCCATCCGCACCTTTCTTCTTTCCTAACCCTTTCCATTCCTTTATCTGCATCATCCATTTTCCCTTCCATTTTCCCTACCCTTTCTCCACATCCTTCTCCCTCCAACACCCACGCTCCTATTTCTCTACAACACTACACCCATTCCTCACATTTGCACCACTTTTTTTCCTTTCCCCTTCTCCACATCCCTTTCTCTCCAATACCCACACTCTTACTACCATCCGTACCATCCCTTCCCATTCTCTTATCCGCACCATCCTTTCTTCTTCCCCACACCCCGCTCTCTCTTTTTCATTTCTTACAAATCTGAACTCCTACAAAACCAGACAAAATCTGACACATTGAACTTCTCCACTAGCTTAACAATATCCACAACCATCTTCTTCATATTCGTCACGTCACTAACATTCTCATGGCAAGTTCGACTCATAGTCATCCTTGAAATAACACTATTCATAAGCGTAAAGAGTTTCGCATCAACATCAACTTCCAAAAGCTTCCATAGGGAGTGAAGAGGAACCGTAGGATAAGAGGTGAATCACAAAGCGGTTAGAGAATGAGGGTTCATGCATTTTGAGGAAGTGTTTGACAATTTTGAGGGTCGAAACGATGACATAGTAGAGGGAACTAAGGGAGAGTTAAATGATGTGACCATAGCAAGTGGAGAAAGCGTGGAAGCTTTGGTGGGATAAGTGAGAAATGAGATGAAAACAACAAAGGGGAGGAGGAAGAGGGAAGGAAGAAGGGGTGTTGTAAGGGGGTTGTGGGAGAGGGGAAGAGAGGGATTGCGAAGAAGAAAGAAAAAAAGTTAGAGGAACTTTTATGAAGTTATGTAAAATATGTTTAGGAATTTATTTATAAATATTAATTTAAATAAAAAATAATAAATAACGTGAGATGCCACATAGGCTGTGATTGAGCCTCGAGATGGCTACGTGGAGTGCTGAGATGAGTTTCCGTCAGTCAACTTAACACTTAACAGAGAGGAGGTTAACAACAAGAACTAAATTATAAATTTTTAACTTTTTAGAGACTACATCATAACAAAAAATTTTATAGGAACTTATCACAAAACAACCTATATTTATAGGGATCAAAAACTTAATTAAACTTAAATATTTTGACCTTTTAAAAAATGACCAATTAGAGAAGGTATGATTGAAATAATTTATCACTAGCATTTTTCATTTTAGATTTTATGTTAATTAATTACATAAAACTCACCTATACTTTTTGTAGATCCAAAAGATATATTTGAGATAAATGAAAAAGATAAAAATGAATATGAATGAAATTAAACAAAATATAATTGTATTTAGATAGATTGAAATGTATAAAAATAATAATATACTTGAAATATTAAAAAGTAATTTATCCTTAAAAAGTTCTTGCCAAACTTTGGGACCTTGTGACATTTGATGACTCATGCTACTTTTAATGACTTTGAAGATAGAAAATAAAAATGATGAGCTCTACTAAAATAATTGAATTTTAGTCATTATTTTTAATGAATCCAAATTTAGAAAATAAATTAAAATTTTTATATTTCAATCTAGTCTACTTTCGGTTCATTATTCTTTAATCTATCATTAATAATCATTATGACTTTAAGCATGTGACACATATTAACGTGTAAAATTTATTTTTTAATATTTTTAGTGTTAAACTATTTCTTTTTTATAACATTCGTATTGAACATCTATGTTAAGTTTTTTACATGGAAAAACTTCTATATCAATTATTATTTTTCACATGTGATGGTAGTAGGTACATGGGGTAATATTACGTTATTAGAGTTTGGCATCCTTAAACATACATTTAGTCATTTAGTCTAGTATTTTTCTTTTTTATTCTTCCTTACTCACTTTAGAATTAGAAAAAATATTCAACCAAATATACTATAAATTATTAATCACATGTTGCATGTATTTGTATAAAACAAATGTTTTATTTTTCAAATTCAAAATAACAAAAGTGAAACCCACTGCATGTAAGCATAATATTAACATGCCACGGGACCATGTATATAATATTCAATAATAAATCAATATTAATTGAAAACCACATTGTGGTATCTGTATAAAAAAATGTGTATTAATAAAAATTCACCTTCACACCTAATTCTTTGTATATGACAAAACAAAAAGAAGTCATTCAACTTTTAGAAAGATTTTGTGCATTCTAATAATAGAAAGACATAATTTGGAAGGTAAAATGAATTCCTTTATTTATGTTTGTTAAATCATAGTATTAGAGATTATATTTTAGTTTTGATTATCTTAACTTTTTCTTTATTAGAATAGTTTAATATATGTAAGTATAAATTGTAAATTTAGGTAGTGTTTGACTTTTAACTTCTATTTTTAAGACTTAGATAAGAAGTAATTTTTTTTTTTACCTAATTGAACAAAGTCTCAAACTCAAAGGACTCAGACTAATGTGAGTCAAATGATTTGTTTGCCAACTTTAAGACATAATGAATAGATATGACAATTAAAGTAAATCTAAAAATAAAAAAGTAAAATTGAGTGGAGTATGACAATGAAGACATTCATAACAAAAAAATAAACTTACTCCAATATTCGAAGTTGAAAAAAACCTTAATTTTAGTTTAAATAAACATCCATGTGATATTTTAATGATATACAAATGTAATTCATGTTAACAATTTTATTAAATTTTTTTGTAATCTTAAAAAAAAGTTAAATTATAAAAAGTTAAGTCAATTATGTACTATTCAATCATCAATATTATAAAATTAAGATTGATCATTGACTCAATTAAAGTTTCGCGTTCCTATTAAACCAATAAATCATTAGTTCAAATAAATTTATACTCAAAATAAAATGAAATAAACACTTAGCTTTTACTTATCAATTAAATTAATTTTTATTGAATTATTTAAATTTTTGACGAATATAAACACTTAGTTTATTTTAAACAAAATTTTTCCTGAATTTGTGCTCAACTCTTAAGATATCTTTCTCTTCACAATTCTGGAAAGAATTATTCATTAGTCACTAGTTTCTTCCGTATCAATTGAATTAATTTTTATCGAATTATTTAAATTTTTGACGAATATAAACACTTAGTTTATTTATATGATTAATTTTTGACTTGTTTAATTTGATAAATTGCCGTGAGATTTCAATTTGAACATATATTTTCAACCAAACGACCTCGTTTCTAGAGATCCCAACTTCAAGCGGCGTGCAAATTCGCGGCGGAGCAGAGTGAGGGAGAAGGGAAACTTGGGAAAAACCGCCGATGGAGGAAGGTTTAGAGAAGAGAGAATTGGAAGGTGCAGTGGTTAGCAAGGTTGCCGAAGTGATTTCGGCCATGAAGAACGCGAAGCACGTTGATGAAGTCATTTGTGCGCTTCGCTCCATAGCCACCCTTCTTTTTCCCCTTCACCCTTCTCTTTTCTCAGGTTTGTTCATTATAGCCTTAAGTAGAATCAACATCTTCACTGTTTGTTTACTGGGAATCAATGTGCACTACTTCACTGGCTCGAAATAATATTTTGATTTTGTATGAATGTATCCAACGTGGCAGATAGCATTGGCGAGAGTTACCGAGACCAGGTTTGTGGTCGTTTTTGCCTCGGAATTCGTCGTTTTGATTACTTTTCGTAATTTCACTTTCTTCTTGTGCCGTGTGCAGGTTCTCGGGGTGAAAGTTCCTTCCGCAGAAGAACGAGATGGGTTGTGGCGTGCGTTTTATCGAGGAGCTGCTTTTCCTACACTTGCTAGGTTTTTATTACTTGGTAATGTCTTTTTTGAGGCTATAAATGTTTTTTGGTTTTTCTCTCAAATTTTATAATTTTGCTACAGAAATAATATTGCATTTTTGCTTTTCCTGTTTTTTCTCATATAATATGTGAAACCTCCTGCAGATGTTGCATCCAATTGGTTGGCTTGTTTTCCCATTTCCGCGCTGAAATATGTTTATGATGTTTTCTTTGTCCGTGGATTGGTCACTGAGGTGCTGCAGATTTTGGTTCCTTTTCTCCAGCAGAATGGAAGTGATGGTCTTGATGTTAATGCTGTCCTCTCAAATTCTGAAAGGTATTTATGTTCATATTGCGCTTTCTCTTAAATGCAGTTTCTTGTCTTAAAATTCATTTACTGTAACTCTTGTTATCAACATGCTTGTGCTTACTTGGGTGTGAAGTTTAATCTCAAATTAATTAACACTGGGAAGAACTTATTCAGGCTCTAATTTTATAACAGATTGATTGTACTGTGCTTACTTGAAAATAATGGGGTGCTTCAGATAGCAAGAGAGTTTGGTGGCAGTGCTTCTAAAGTGAGAAATGTTATAGATGAACGGATCAAGCTGGATGTATCTAGGGTGGCACAGATTGTTGCATCTATTCCTGACAAAGCAAGAATGAACTCCCTGACTTCATTGTCATCACAGTATCCTCTTTTTTCTTTTCTTGATTTAGATAGTTTATGGGTTCTATATGTTGACATGGTTTTGCAGTTCTTTTAACATGATTAACATATGATTTTTAACTATTTCCATTGATTGAATATGACCTTGGGAGGATTTAGCTAGATTATGTTATTGTGGTTCTGAGTTCCTTTGCAAGTATTTCATGTGTTTTCTTCACCAAGAGTATTCAGTGTGTTCTTCAAGCAGATTATTGTCCAACTACTCTCACTGGCAGAAGAGAGAGAACTAATTTTGCTAGAAAATATAGAAAAGGATGAAATGGACAAAAATGGTGCCCTGTTATTTGTAGGGGAAATGTTTTCTCGCATTTGTCGCCGTGGCTCTGCTGGTAACTAGAATTTTTCAGACACTGGAACAGGTTTTTTTAACTACATGTATCAGTTAGTATCATTACTACATGTATCAGTTAGTATCATTAATTTCTTTAAATTAACTGCATCAATTTATATCTTCTGTTAAACCAACTCTCTCTTTTTTTTTTTCCTTTTATAAAGAAAAAATTCAGAGCCACAATATGTTGTAATTGCTGTACCATTTTGTGAAGAAAAATAAAAGGCATGTGGTCACTTTTCTTACAGGTTATAGTTTTCAGAAGATAACTAGTGTCACATGGGTTATATTTTGCAGAAAGCATGTTATTTAGTTTCTTATTTGCAACATTTGTCCATGAGCTTTTTGACACAACTTAAAGGAAGCTAGTGAATCAATATGAAATTAACATCAATATCAAGTTTTTAAGGTTTGAAATACATTGTTATAAGGACAATGCCATAGGTTATGGACCACTACAAGTTTGTAACCTATTATACTGCTAGATCTTTTGAATCCTCACCTAAATAGTAAATGTACAACTTAGAGATTTTATTTAGTTTCCTTGGACATAGCATGATTTCAATCAGACACATGAGTTGTGTCCTTTGACTTGACGTAATCCAAGTAAACAAATAACTCTCTAATACTGTCCTGGTTGAAATCTTGATGAATAATTTGACACTGATGTGAATCTGTGTTAAGCAACACTTCTGGACAGTTCTTGAAAGTTGGATGATGGCATTCTGAAAGCATAATATAATAATTTTGTTTGAGTGCTATTTGAGAGTGTACACATCTTGCTGAATTGCTAATGGACTAGCCAAAACTGTTCAATCTTGTCAACATCAATTTAATCTTCTATCTTATAACAATCCTTGATTTTTAGACTGTTCATACCAAATAAAATTCTCAAGACAGTCTGCTTTGGTAATTTTGTTTTGAAAATAGATGACTTGGTAGTTAGATATCTTGTTATTTTAATGAATCTAGGACTTCTCTGTTGGATTCGAGATGTACTATTTGGATTTGCTATTGGTAAACTACTGGTTTGAGACATAGTGATCAATGGCATGCTGTAGCAATGGAGCGGCATGCCATCTCCTCAAGCCACTTAAAGGTTTCTATTGTGGATTGCTTTCAATTGCAGCAGCTATCTTGAAAAATTGCAGCAGTCATGGGTGCTAGCTATTTATAGCAATAAATCCCTTCTTGACCCCTGTTTTCTGAGTTATCAAACCCATAACTTTTGGGTGTTTTCTTGCTTCACCATTGTTTTGCATTGTAGATGTTTAGGGTTTCTGTTTTGGAAAAAAAAACACTCAATTTGACCGTGTTTCAATGGAAGAAGATGGAATGTGGCCTCTGATTAGCTTCCAAACACCAACCTGCCGAGCTGGCATTGTTTTTGGCAAACCATGATGCTCTTGTCTCTATTCACGTATCTCTGTTTTTCCTTATCCTTTGGTCTCTGTTCAGATCAAGCATCATAGCTGATAGGTCTCTGTTCTTTTCTTTTTAGCATGTGCAATGTTCTTTCATCATACTTCCTACTTCACCGTTCTGTTCTGTTTTTTTTCTTCCCAACTCCTTTAGAGTTTAGACAAAGGGTTGTAATTACTAAACACATATATGTCTTATTTTGGATAATTTTTTATTTTTATTTTTTGAGCATTTGTAATTTTATATTTGTGGTATAAATTGATTGTTTCTGTATGCTTATCCTTCTATGTAGCGGCCATTGTACTAAAGCATTTTTAGGGTTTGCTGCTCCTTGCTATGATATGGGATTAATAATGTTTGAGAAATTGGAAGCTTTATGACTCATCCTATGCATAATGGAAAATACAACAAAACTGCATTTAGAATTGTTGAAAGGGACTGGTTAAACAAAGTTGGTGACCTGCTGTGACTGTGATGACTCTTATCCTATGCACCTAGTGTCCTGTTGTCAACTATAATTGATATATTTTTTTTTCTGAACTAGCTGTTTAGCTATCAAAATTGTTTCCTGATCAAGTCTTTTTTCTTGTAGATCTGCTATGTAGTGAATTAATACCCCGAGTTCTAAAGCTTGTCAACAGCTGCTTATCATCAAGTAATGATTCAGTTACTAAGGATTTGCTTGAGTCAAAATCAGACAGTGTGTTTTGGTTGAGAATTATTGAATCCATCAGGGATCCTTATACTACGGAAAGAATCTCTGAGCAGATTTTTCATAATCTAGCAACTCAAAAAGCAAATGGCGTTCAAGCATATTGGGTCCTGTGGTTGTTATTCCATCGAATTTTTAAGCTTCAGGCTTCTGTCAGGTGAGTGGATATTAGTTTGTTTTGCTTCTGTTCATGGATAATCTGGAACTAATGCTCCATTTCCTTTTTGCGTATGGCACAACATCCAAATTAAAGGAAATAAAATCGGTTAAACATTTTTGGATGATGAGAATTATTTTGGGGGGAAAGACATGAATTTGAAATTTTAACTTCACTTCCAATTAACTTTGTTTCCTCCCACGGCTCTACCCTGTCTTTTCTGCACTTTAACCTGAACAGGTTATTAAATATTGCAATAATGTATAATAAGGATTTTTTATGGATATCACAATTTTTATTAAAATAATTGATGCATGCGTATCCTTGCAATGAGTGTGTCATGAAGGTTTAGCCTCTTGATCGTGTTAGAAGGTTCCTGACAGGCATTTTGATAATCTATAGAATACATGGAATGGGTTTAGCCCTTTGGGAGGCAACTGGTGCCCCCATATTAAAAAATATGAATTTGGTTCCTCTAAAGTGAGGAAACAAATGAAGTGAAAAAGTGATGGTTTATCCACCATTGATTTAAGTTAGTTTTGTTTACAAAATAACTTAAATCATTGGTGGATAAAGTCTCACTTTCTCACTTTACACATTTCCTCACTTTAGAGGAGCCAAATCCAAAAAATATATTCATAGGTTGTCAGTGATTACAACATTTTTTCCCTTTGAAATATATTTAAACTAATTTTTTATGTTCATGCATTACACCATTTATTGACATTAAGTCTTTAAACCATGATGCACACATCTTAGACTATGTAAGCATACTGATGCTATCATAAGCAGTGTTTTCTTTACCTTCTTTTTATTTGTTAGAATAGTAATGAAATACCAGTATTTATATATGTGCTTAGGACCAAAACTTTTGCTGTGTTTTCCTGGCTTCTCCTCAGGTCTATGTTTGTTGACAAATTCCTGCTATGGAAAGTATTCCCTGTTAGCTGTCTGAAATGGATACTTCAATTTTCTGTGCTTGAAGAGCCCCCAGGTACAACCTTAGCAGGACATAATCGCTCTGGACTCTTGAACACAGTCCATCGTTTGGTAGCAGTTTGGTCTAAGAAAGAATTTGTGCAAACAGTACCTATTGAGCAGCAAGCTTGTATCCTTTTTTGTTAGCTAATATACTGAAAAATGTGGAATATACCATTGAGGAATACAGAGTTTCCATATGTTAATTTAAAAGGGGTGGGGATTTGGTAGAGGACAGATGCATGTAGCTTTACCCTTGTAAGTGGAAAATCCATTTCCATTTTCCATTGTTACATCCCATGGATCACCAAGTCACATGGCAGCAACCTTAACTGTTGTGTCAAAGCTCCTTCCTATGTGTATATTGCTGCATTATAATTATAACAATTTCGTGTGCTTTTCTCCTTTCAGCATTCACTGTATCTGATACCATCTTTATTGTAATGATGCATTTATCTATCTATTTTTCCTATATTTATCTCAGATATATCTGCTGCACTAGGCCTTTCTCTAGAGACTATGTCTAAGGAGGAATTGGATGGGATGAAGGATGCCATGCCCTTGATTCTTCAAGGAGTTAGCTGTAATTATATCATTTACTTAATGTTGAGTGTAGATAATATGATGGCAAGAGGGATTATATGGGATTAGAACTATTACCCAGCCTACTCTTAATTCTTCAGTACACTATTTATGTTCCAGACCATGCACAAAGGAAGGGCGTGGTAGATCTAGAAACAATTTATGAGTCATTTGGGGTCTTCAAGATAGGCAAATGGTTCCTCTTGAACTTGTTTTAATCTGTGATCCTGCTTTGAGTCAAGCCAAATATGTCAATCCTATCAAATTTATGTTGTTATTTAAAGCATATTGTTAAATTTAGACTTTAAGCCTAACTCAACTCCAAAATTTAGCTTGTAAGGCAAGAATTGTTTTAACTTTTAAAAGTTCTTATTTAGCTATATTTATAGAACTTCAATACACTTTCTCATACTCAAGATTGGACATTTAGAGTGTGGAAATTATGTTCTAACACATCCCCTTATGCCCAATATTAGACATTTAAAGCGTGAAAAGTGTAGGACTTTTTTTTTTTTTAAATTCTAGGAAAGCCACTAGAAAATCTATGGGGCTAAGTTAATTGCACTAGAAAAATTTGTAGGATCATTTTCTTTTTTAAGTCAATGGTGGCCCAATATTAGATTTATGATAGACTCTAATACTATGTTAAATTTGGACTTTAAATTTAACTCAACCCTAAAGTTAACTTGTAAAGTGATTGTTATTTTAGCCTTTATTAGATCTTATTTAGCCATATTTATAGTTGATGTGAGATTTCAACATCTTCCTTATGCTCAAGATTGGATGTGGTGGAATTAAGTCTCAACACATGAACCTGCAATGAGTGTGGGGTTTTGTTGAAGTCTCATATTGACTATAGATATGGTTAAATAAAAGTTCATAAAAGCTAAAATAATCTTCACTTTGTGAGCTAGTTTTTGGAGTTGAGTTTAGTTTAAAAGTCTAAATTTAACATAGTATTAAAGCCTATCGTACATCTGATATTAGGTTATCTTTAATTGACGACCAAAAAATTTGGCCTCACAAATTTTTCCAGTGCAATTAACCTAAATCTCATGGATTTCTTAATACAACTTTCTTAGTCCTGTGGCTTTCCTAGTGCTATGTTAAAAAAAACAATCTTACAATTTTCACGCTCTAGATGTTCAATTTTGAGTATGAAGGAGTGTATTAAAATTTCACATTGACTACAAATATGGCTAAATAAAAACTTATAAAAGGTAAAACAATCCTCACCTCATAGGCTAGCTTTTGGGGATTAAGTTAGGCTTAAAGCTCAAATTCAACAAGTATTGATGCTTTTGATTAAGGACCTTTCAAGCCACATTACTGGAGTTTTGTCAATCATTGTATTATATATTCATCAAGAAGTCATACTGTAAAACGAAGATGGAATAATTTGTATTGAGAATGTAACTACTTTGATGAGTTCCTTTTTCCTGGGTCCATCTCCATCCCACTCCCACTCAGTAGTCTTATTAAAGCTGATAAAAATTGGGTTGTCATTCCTTCTGACAGCATAAGTTGTTGATGTTTGTCTTCTAATTTTTGTGAAATTGTTTCAGGTAGGCTGGAGAGTCCTGATCATTTAGTACGAAAAATGGCTAGCTGTGTTGCTTTGGCATTGTCTAAAATTATTGATCCAAAAAATCCGTTGTACCTGGATGACAGCTGCAGTGGGGAGACAATTGATTGGGAATTTGAATTCACTGTTTCCAATAAAGGTACTCTGGTGGCCTCAAATTGCACAGATAAAAGTGTTGAGGGAACAAAAATATCTCCAGTGTCAGGTCCAATGAGGGACTCCGATTCCCCTTCCAATAAAGAGAGAAGTATTAGTGTAAAGGGTAAAGAGAAGTTCTTGGATTTTCATGTGCTTGATCCAGATGAGATTCTTGATCCAGCAGCACTGAATCTTGAATCAGACATTGACAATGAGGATGATGATGACAGTGCTAGTGAGAATTCATATTCCTCAAGTGATTCATCTTTACAGCCATATGATTTGTCAGATGATGACTCGGATTTGAAAAGAAAATTTTCACAGTTGGCTGATGTAGTTGCTGCTCTTAGAAAATCTGATGATGCTGACGGGGTTTGTATTTTGCTGCCAGAACACTTTTAGTTGCATTTTGATCATCTACCACTCTTACACTTAATGCAATTAATTTCTTGGGATAATAAAGTATAATTGATTATGAACTAAGTTGTTTAACAATTACTGCAATGACCAAGTAATATTTAATCACTTTAGACTGAGTTATTCAAAAACCAATTTGTAGTCCTGTGTAAGTGTGATTGACCTGCTGCATTCTTGCCTTTAGCGCAAGTCTCTTGGTATCCTGGTTTTTTGCTGAAAGTTTGATGTTTTGTAAACTTTTAACTTCAACTGCAGGTGGAAAGGGCTCTTGATGTAGCTGAAAAGCTCATAAGAGCATCTCCAGATGAACTAAAACACACAGCCAAGGATCTGACCAGAACTCTTGTTCAGGTTCGTTGCTCTGATATAGCTTTAGAAGGTGCAGAAGAATCAACCGAAGACAAAAGACAAAGAGCATTAGTTGCCTTAGCAGTCACCTGCCCATTTGAATCACTTGACACACTAAACAAGCTTTTGTATTCACCTAACGTAGATATCAGTCAGCGCATTATGATACTAGATGTCATGACAGAAGCAGCTCAGGAGCTTGCTGAATCAAAAATTATGAAACCCAAACATCAGACTAGTTCCCTTATTTCAGTTGTTTCAGATACCCGACCTTGGTTCTTGCCAAGCAGTGCAGGGACTCCTGGAGCTGGTTCCTGGAAACAGATCTCAGGTACTGGCACTTTGTTGAATTGGTCAAATATCTATGAGAGGGAACTTCCCCCAAAACCTAATCAGGTCAAGAAAGGGAAAACACGCCGGTGGAGCCTAAGATCTCCTGCACAACAAAACCAGATGGAGTTTTCTCAAAATAAGTTTCCCATGTATGCTGCTGCGTTCATGCTTCCTGCCATGGAGGGATATGATAAAAAAAGGCATGGTGTTGACTTGCTTGGCAGGGATTTTATTGTCCTGGGGAAACTCATTTATATGCTTGGGGTTTGTATGAAATCTGTAGCGATGCATCCTGAAGCATCTGTGCTGGCTCCTTCCCTCCTGGATATGTTAAGATCCAGGTACTGGTTGAGACATTAGCCGTCTATTTAATTGTGAACCCTTTGAGGCCTGGCATAATCTAAAACCTTAATCTCACTCCCAAAAGTGTGTTTACGTGTGTGATAATTAATTGATAGTTTGTGTTCTATTTGTTGGATTTGCTAGTGTGCTAATGCAGGGAAAATTGTCACTTTTTGCATTTCAACTCATGCAGAGAGGTATGCCATCACCAGGAAGCATATGTAAGAAGAGCCGTCCTGTTTGCAGCTGCATGCGTATTGGTTGCCCTTCACCCTGCTTACCTTTCATCTGCCTTACTTGAAGGAAATGTTGAAATTTCCACTGGCCTTGAATGGATCCGCACATGGGCACTTGAGGTAGCTGAGTCAGACACAGATAGAGAATGCTATACGGTAAGCAAAAGAAATTTGAAGCTTCGAAGCAGTTGAGAATCTATGTCCCCCTTTTCTTACTAGGTTTTCAATTATCTCTGCCTTTACATTGGCCTCATAAATGCTTTTTATGCATTGGTCTACAGTTAATGGTGGTAAGGTTGCAGATATAGTTACTTAACCCTAAACAAAGTTAAATATATATCATGATAACCAATGGGTGGTTGGTTGGAGTGGTGTATATTTGATTTCCCTTAATCAAGGTCTCATCTGAAGTTTGAACCTTGTATATGAAAAAAATTCCTACCAAAAGAGTTAGTCTTAGTCCTAACTTGATCAATATTGTCTCATGCATGGTCCTAAAGGACCTAGACCAAAAAAATATTTATTATGATACCTCAATCTTGGTCTCATTGTGTTCTATTTTCATATTTATTTCAATGATTTAGGCAATGTAGGTGATTTTAAAATATGGACCGAGATAGCACGTTATTATCCCTCGGATTTTTATTTTAGCGTCTTTTTCCCAGCTTCTGAAGAGAACTTTTGAGAAATATGTGATTATTGTAAATTTAAGTGATTCCAAACATGCTACTTGGCCCTTTTTGTTCTCTCTGCCGTAGAGCTTTACAAAGCCCCCTCATAACCCTTTTATTGTTTGGTTTGATGCTTGGTTAATTTCCCTTTTCCAAATAATTTTTTTCGGTTTAACTGTAGATGGCTATGACATGTATACAACTCCATGCTGAGATGGCCCTTCAAACTTCCCGAGCATTGGAGTCAGCAAGAACTTCGCTCAAGGCAGGTCCTGCGCTCTCTTCTGATGCATCCAAAGTGACCATTAAAATTCCCTACCTAAACGGGGATTAGTGATACTACTGGCGATTGTGAATGGCTTCTAGCCCAGAATACGATTCAAAATTGTTCTAATTATTTCTGCTACTCGTTTAATATTTTATTCAGTCCTTGGATTTTTGAAAAATTTGTATATTTTAGGTTTCTAGATTGGTGTACATACTGATTTCGGAAGCATTTCGAATTTAATAATATTTTCTTCTTTGCTAGTAAGTTTGAGGTTCTCATCACTTTTCAATTGCGTACGTTACTTGATATAATTTCTCAATACGAAATTTAACTTAATCTAATTTACGAGTTTTATATTTGCTTGATATGAAAAGGGAAAGAAATGTAACATTTGATCAACCTTGTTTCTTCGGTTTTTGGTAGATGGTGGATATTCTTTCTTTGTTTTTAAATAACTTGATTAATTTCGTTATTTGAACCATTATCAATTAGTATTGTATACAATTGTTTCTATCTTTTTTTAATCTTTTTGGTATACATGCATTACCAATTTTTTGTTAAATAAATTCCCTGAACAATAAGTAGAATTAATTAAATTTATTAATTCCAAAAGTTTATTGAAAGATGATTAAGCTTGGCTTTTATTTATTTTGACTAAATTAAGAGATTCATAATTTGTAAATTTAAATAGTTTGGCATATTTATAATGTATTTCATTAATAAAATAAAAGATAAAAATATTTGATTTTAATTATTATATTGGTTTCTTTTTTTATGAAAAATTAAATTAAAATTCAAAATAATTTATTATAATTTTTAATTAAATTTTTTGTGTGTGTGCATGATATGATATCAAATATACATATATGTATGGTTTTTATTTTAAAAAAAAAGAGTAAAAAATTTCCTTTATATGTTTTATTCTTTTAGTGAAACCTAATTCAAAGTTTGATGGGTTTTATTCCTCCATCTCCTACCTTTTAACTTCTAATGTAGTGTTTTGAATAAAAAAATAACAAAAGTTATAAGTTGTTGAGAAAGTTGAGTCTAACTGACTTCTAAAAGCTAGTTTATAAGAGGAGAACTACTACTTGTGGCTTAGTGAAGTCCACTGAAGAAAATATTGACATTGTTTGGCAATGGAATAATGATTATGTGAAATTTCTTGAGTATTTATATTTAAATTTTGTGCACATAACATATACATATATACATATTATAAATTTTTAAATAGCGGTCATTCTGCTATACACTATTCTGCTATAGTATTTTTAAGGGTTAGCTGTTATTTATCGTTACCCGAGATTAATAATTATGGACAAACTCTTAATTTGCATTGTGCTTAAAACACTTGAACTGAATGAAAAAGATAGAATTCATATTAAACAAATTCAAAATTATGAGATTTTCTCTCAAGGCTAGGATTCTTTCTTACTTCTAAAGTCTTATCAAGAATTCTCATTACTGTGGCAATCATCTTAGACTTATCAACCAAATAGGTTTGTGGCGCCTATTTCTTGCTCTTTCTTATTCTAATTTTCTATTTAATATGCAATAACAATGAGAAATCTAAATCTGACCTAAGGTTTAAATATATGCCAATTTTCATCTTAATCTTCAATTTTTGTTTCAACTTAGCCCAAATCATATCTCTTGTTATACAATACCTTTTTTGGTGATTCTTAAGCCAAAATTACATTTCAAAACGTAGTCTTTCACCTTGTTTTTGAAACATCGCAATCCAAAATTTGTAGCACGAGATACAACCCATTGTTATTCCGCTTGCAGTTCATAATTCTTTTCTTTTTCTTATTTGTTTTCTTTGCTCAAGTTAGTTCTGTTCTTCCAATTTCTAAGGTTCAAGCTATACATAGAAACCGTAATTTCCTCTTTTAATTTGAGTGTTCCTAGTTTTAGTTAAGTCCTTTCTCTAAGGGAGTTTGAGAAACCTCATCACCTTTCAACCATTGAATTCTGTTAAGGATTTCAACACATGAGATGCGATGGAGAATACTATGTTCAGCATATAAAGTAGACATGTTAAATTCAATGTCATTGTCACTTTGAATGACTTTTATTTTCTTATTAAATTGAGTTTTAACAAAAGAAATAAAAATGAGACCTAAGGATCTCGTTTCAACTTTGAACTTCATAAGAAAAAGTTAAGTGTACTTAAAAAAAATATCAACAACAATTAAAAAATATTTGTGTTCAGAAATAGAGGTGATGCTCAAAGGCCCTCAAATATCCATGTGAATAAGATCAAAACAAGCACCACTAACACTATTGCTAGACGGAAAAGGTAATTTGCTCAATTTTCCCATATGATAGAAATCACAAATGATTTTAGAGTTGTAAGGTCATAAGTGATGGGTATTGAGATTAAAACAAAGCAGACACTTTAACAATAACTAACAACACTATACTATGATAGTTTCAAATTCAATGGTGACTGATCTAACAAAAAGTAGATTCTTTCCAGAAATTTTGACAAGCTCAAGGTCAAGTTATCTTTGTCGTGAGATGATAGTCCCATGAAAAGGACCACAATAGACTATTTACACAAAAAAAAAATATTTTTTACTGTGCTTTAGTAAGAAGTTTAGTTCTTCGATCTCGTAATCAGGCATAAAAGATGCTATAAAAAATGATCATAACTCCTTTTAATTGATTATATTTGTCAGTCTAGCCGATCAAACGAATAATTTTAATAAGCTAATCACTTGATTATCATCAGAAAAATTCATGCTTGAATTGTGGTCATTGCTACTTCTCTTTCAAAACAAAGGTTCATTTTTTCTACTTTCATCCATCCTTTTCTCTTTGAAATTTCCTAAACACTGAGTAGGGCTCAAAATAAAGCTCAAATCGAGAATCCTCTACAAGAAAAGCTTCAAGCTCACCCACAACACCCAATCCCTACTAAGGAATCTTTCATAGAAGTCACTTATTCAAGTACTCCAATTGTAACTAAGAAGGAGGTGAAAGCTCAAAAGGTCCTTGACATGTATATTATTTTGATGGAGAACTATAGCCGATCAATGTTTTAGAGACCAAAAAATCACTGTATCATCTTGTTCGTGAATTCTATAGCAACCTCAACATCCAAAAGGAGTTGAGGTTAGGAGTAACAGGGATTGACATAAAAATCAAGCAAACACTTTGCCAACAACACACAACTCTACCTTGTCCTAGTCTCAATTTCAGTGGTGACCTACCTAGCAAAAAAAGTGGGTCACTTCCAAAAATTGAAAAGCATAAAATTTAGGTGTCTTTGTTCTGAGTTGATAGTCTGCTTAAAGGAAATAAAGCAAACTATTTATGCACAAAAAATTATCTTTTTCATTATGCTTTGGTACAAGTTTAATTCCTTGCACCGATAATCATGCATAAAGAAATGCAACAAAAATAATGATTAGAACACCCATTAATCAATGATATTTTTCTTTATGAATGATCTAGGTATTGCACCATTTAAGTTTGTCTCGTTGATTGATCACGCGAAGAATTTTAATTGATAAATCACTTAATTAGTAAGAGAAAAATCCCATGCTCAAACCATGGCCATTGTTGCTTCTATTCTTTGAAAACACAAGTTCTCTCTTCTTTATTTTCATCCACTCTTTACTTTTTAAACTCTCCTAAATGCCAAGCATGACTCCTAAAAGAAACAAAAATCAAGAACACTCTAAAAGAAAAAGATTCAAGCTTAACCTTAATATCCAACTCCCTGTTAAGTAACCTTTCACATAAGTCACTTTTTCAAGTACTCAAACTGTGATCAGAAAGGAGGTGATAAACGTGATTAAAAAAAATCTGAGCACTTTTTAATCAATTATATTTGTTAAAAGGTTTAAATATGTTTTAACTACCTTCAAATAGGGATAAATTCAAAAAACTACCTCAAAATTATTTTTTTCAAATTTATATCCGACGTTAACATCTGTCAGTTAATTGATGATGTGGCCAACAGTTTGTTGGTGACGTGGCTAACATTTGAATATCTCTCATCCGCCTCACCCTAAACTATTACATCTAATTTCACGTCAGTAATTTTGAATTTAGAAAAAGAAAAAAAATAGAAAATAGAAATTTAAGCGCGCAGTTGGGTCTTGGACAGTTACTCAATCTTGAACACTCAGAGCAATATTTCAAAATACAAAGCAAAAAATCCTTGAAGCCCTTGAACATAGAGTGATTGTAAGAACCGCGCATAGTATGTTTCGCATCTTCATCTTCACCTTTGCTGTTTATTGTTTTCAAAACAAACAAACATATGCCTTCTTATTTTTTCCTTGTTTCCCAAGTAGTGTGGTTGTTACCAGAGGCGACGTTGTGGACATTGTCGACATTGTTGAAGGTAAGTGTTATTTGATTAGAGTAGTGCGGGTTAGGGTTTTCTTTCATAAATTTGTGCTTTACCTGACACGGAAATTTGTTCCTTTTCATATGTAGATGACTTTCAATGCTATAATTCATCACGGGGGTCATTTTGAACTGGACCTCGTGATGCACTATGTTGGGGGCAAAGAGGCTGTTCCTATGAAGAATATTGATATAGACAGGTGGTCGTACTTTGAAACAATTGGGATTTTAAGAGAAGACTTAGGTTACGGAGAGCACCTTGTGAGGATATGGTAAAAATTTGGTCCTTCTGACTTCAAGGAAATCAACTGTGATAGTGTAGCCCTGCATTGCTAATTTTACCATTTGTAACAGTGTGGAGGTTGAGATATATGTTGTTTGTGAAGGAGGCAATGAGGGTGTTATTGGGGACAATTTTTTTAGTAGTAAGGAGGAATTTCTAAACGAAATTCATTTAGATGAAAGTGAGGAGGATAGGGCTGGTGACATGGATGATGGATTTGATAGAGACGTTCCAGAATTTAGGCGAGTAAAAGGAAGAAGTCATTTGCAAAGAAAGTGAATGAAGATGTTGAGGCTGAGGAGGTAGATGTTGGTCAGAGTGTTCATCAGCCTGAAAATCCCAATGTTCATGTAGAGGTTGTCTGGATTTCTGGAGATGAAGATTCTGTTGAAAAATCAACCCCTTAAAGAGACTTACCAAGTGCGCTTCAGAGTGATGGTCAGTCTAGAAGAAAAGTGATTGTTGGTGGTGTGGATGCTGTTGTTGGGACTGCTGCTGCTGTTGAGAAACCTGGAGGTGGAAAAAAAAGGAAAAAAAAGAAGGATGCTAGGAAGATGCAATAAAAAAGAGTTAATGTTTTTGGTCAGAGTAGTGAAGGTTTACACAATGCAGA